TCAAATAGCTTGCAATAGACAAGATAGTGACTCTCTTATTTCTTTTTTCATTCTCAAATAAGAAGAATAACTTTCAACAAACATGCTACTCTAAGCACTCTGTGCATTCTGGTGTACCCCTTGAGTTTTTTGGGGGGTTGCATGTGCCAGGGATACAGGAAGACTTTCCCAGTTATTGGTAGTGTTAAGGGAATGAATTTCTAAGCCACAGTTTTCATTTGTCTCCTTGCATAAGAGAGGTTATCTGTTCCCTCTATCCCCTTGCCACTCCTCCCACTGGCCAGAGGACCCTTCCAATGGTGCAGTGGCCCAGGTAAAAGACTCTCTGGGGCCCCACACAGAAGCATTACTGAAAGGATTCTTCTCCAGGAAGCCTTCCTTTCTGTTGAATGAAAGGACCTTGAGACATAGGGGGCTTCCTAGTCTTTGGTCATATTTCTGTTAACAGTGAGGCATTGCTTTAGAAATGGGGAACACAACTCCTTAGGAGGCTCTGAAAGCAGATATTTCAGCAAGGTGGGCGTGATGGCGATTTTCTCTTAACAGTCCCTCCTCATTCATTCCATAAACAGTCAAGTAATGTCCTGCTTTTGAGAGAGATCATGACGAGAAGAGGGCTTTGGTAAAAAACAGAATATTTAAAATAGGATCATGTGCACATGCCCACATATAGACACATTTTAAAATATAAGCACTATTCAGTTAGAGGTGATGTGAAAAATATTTCAAGTGGGTGCCAACCAATTGGAGCCAATCCTTACCTGCGTACATTAGCCCTGTGTTCAACTCTGCTCAATACTTAGGGCTCGAGGGCTAGTTAATTGGCAAGGGTACCAACTTTAAACAGTCACAGCTATATGCTAATGATTCTTATTGTTTGATTCCTCTCCAGTTGTTTTTTTTTTTTTTTAAACATACAGTAAAATGTACTTTTAAAACGTACATTTTCATAAATTTGTTTGATTCTAAATAAGACCTGGCATAATCCCATCATCGCAGAAAGTTTCCTTAGGATACTTCCCTTTTCTCTCACTATAAATTATTCCTGTTCTAAAACTTCGTATAAATCGAATCATGCAGTGTATACTTTCTTATGTGTCTGACTTCTTTTACCCAACCTTTAAATTCTAAGATTGGCCTGTGGCATTTTATGTATCAGTAGTTCTTTGTATTTGTGAAATATTTTATTGTACATACAGATGTACAATTTGCTTATTCATTTACCTGTTGATGGACATTGGGTCATTTTTAGGCTATTATAAATAAGCCTGGTATGAATAACAGCAACAATAAAAATGTACAAAGAAGGAAATACTGAAGATAAAAGTAGAAATTTATAGGGATGAAAATGCAGATCTAATTAATCAGGTAATCAGTCTTGTGTTTTTTTGTTTTTTTTAACTCTAATACTTCATTTAAAAAACACAGTATGGCTATGGCCATTGGCTCATGCTAGTAATCTCAGCAGTTGGGGAGGCTGAGGCAGGAGGAGGATCACTTGAGCCCAGTTCAAGGCTGCAGTGAGCCATGATTGCACCACTACATTCTAGCCTCAGTGACAGACTGAGATCCTGCCTCTTTAAAAAAACAAGACAAAACAGTTTGACAGCTGGATTTTTTTCCAGGAATGTAAGGTTGGTTCAATAATACAGACTCTATTAATGTCATATATCAAATTAATAAATACGAAAGAGAAAATAACATGATTAGGTCCAAAGCTATGATTATGATTTGATTATCTTTGAAGTTAGCGTCATACATAATGGGAACACATAAGAGATATTTCCTCTGAGGTCAGAAACTAGGCAAGGATGTTCACTGTTTTCACTATTTTCCACATTGGACTAGAAGTACAGTGCAACTAAAGGCATAAGAAGGGTTAAAGAAGAAGTAAAACTGTTTCTTTGCAAATAATAAGATACTTTGAACACACCAAAGAATGAATGATAAAACTATGTCAGACAATAAAAGTATTCAGTCAGGTAGGAAGATGTAAAGTTAACATAAAAATACCCTTTAGGCTGGGTTCCGTGGCTCAGCCTGTAATCCCGCGCCTTGGGAGGCTGAGGTGAGTGAATTGCCTGAGCCTGCGGGTTCGAGACCCGCCTGGGTAACTTGGCAAGCCCTCATCTCTATAATAAATCAAAAAATTAGCCTGGAATGGTAGCGCGCGCCTGTAGTTCCAGCTCCTTGGAAGGCTAAGGCGGAAGGATCGCTGGAGTCCAGCAGGTCAAGGCTGCGGTGGTTGGGAGCATGCTATTGCACTCCAGTCTGGGTGACAGGGTGAGATTCCGACACACACACACACACACACACACACACACTATCCTTTAAATATACAAACAGCAGATAGGACGTAATGGTAGAGAAAATTCTATTTAAAACAACTTTATAGTCATTTATCAGATGATAGACTTTGATTTTTACTGTTTTTGGCTTGCCCTATATCAGTCATTTTACATTCCTGGTAGATATTTAGCAATGTCTTGGCAATTTTGATTGTCACAATGATATGTGTGTGGGTGCTACTGGGTAGAGGCCAGGACTGCTGTGAAATGCCCTACAATACACAGGGCATCCCTGGCAATAAATATTTAGTCCAAAATGTCACAAGTGCTGAGATTGGTAAACCCTGTTCCAAACATACCTGATTTCCAGTGTCTTTGTTTACAGTTGTCGGTTGCTAAGGTTTGCAAACTGTTAATTGGTATGTTAATTAATCTAGTTTTAAGGTGAGATAAAGCACAATAGAAGACGAATCTGTTTTCTTAGTAATAGACAACAATAGAAATGGTAACTTATTTTACATAGAATTGAGTGTAGTATAAAATTTCATAGACTTTTTCTTTATTTGATTGTCTTAATATCTTTATGACATAGGTAGTAGGTATTATTATCCCTATTTTTCTGATTAAGGAACTTATCTATTTATTCTGGCTTTCAGCAGCTGAAACACTTTGGATGGATGTGTAGTTCATTTCAGAGTGAGCTTGTTGTTAATTTGTAAAAGTGATAATATCTGCCTTTTCCTCAGAAGGTGGTTTTAGTTCCAGTTAACTCTAGAGGGGGTAGTTCTGGGCCTGGAAAGTTGATACCTCGTCTATATTTTCCTTGAATTGGATCTTGTTATCTACAAATAGTAGGGATAAATGCTATAGCACTTCTAGTAGAGCTTTGTGATGATGAAATTGTTCTGTAGCTTTGTTCTGTTTAGTATGCTAGCTACTAGCCATGTGTGTGGTCTAAATTGACGTCAAGAAACCCAAACCTTACCATCATGCAAATACTCATGTAACAAACCTGCACACGTACTCTTGAAATCCAAAACACAAATTTTAAAAAGAAAAAAAGATTAAGTAAATTTTTAATTAAAAATTTTTCTCAGTTGTATCAGCCTTGTTTTTAAGTGCTCAGTAACTCTGGTTTGTTTTCTCATCTGTAGTTTCCAAACAGACTTTAATAAATCATTCAGTTTATAAGATGAAGGTGATCTGAGTCAGTCTCAGCTTCTACCCATTACTGAGGCTTAATTTCATTACTAAAGCCTTTGAGGGAAAGGAAAACCTTCTTAGTTTCCTGGTAGGAAGGAAAAGCCATAAACATGCCAACACCTCTCTCAGCTAGTTCCTCTTCCGGAGGCTGGCCATTAGCTGGTGTGTGCCTTGCTACTTGCACATTCATCTTATTGCGGTGGACAGCCCCCTCAAGTGGTGGGGTATGTGATGGGAGCTTTCAGTCCTCCACTTCCATCCAACCTCCCCAAAGCCTTTGGTTTCTATTTGACGTTAAAGCTTCTGCTGGGTGCGTTGGTCCACACCTGAAATCCCAGCACTTTGGAAGACTATGGTGGGAGGATTGCTTGAATCCGGGAGTTTAAGACCGGCCTGGGCAACTTAGTGAGCCCTCAGCTCTACAAAAAAAGTAAATAAGTCAGCCAGGAATGGTAGCATGCCCCTGTAGTCCCAGCTACTCAGGAGGCTGAGATGGAAGGATCGCCTGAGCCTAAGGAGATTGAGGCTACTGTGTGCTGTGATAGTACCATTGCGCTCCAGCCTGGGTGACAGAGTAAGACCCAGACTCAAAAATAAACAAATAAAAATAAAGTTCCCTTCTGTTACTGTGGAGGAATTTGGCATTTTTCAGCCTCCCCCGCCTCCTTGGGAACCCTGGAATTTACGCACACGCGCATGTGTTTGTATTTGAAATTGGAGCCTATTGCATGGTGTCACGCTTCTGGCCTTTACCTTGGATGCTTGGAAGCAGGGAACCATTGCTTAAGCAGGTCTATAGTATTGTAGAGCTTTCACCTGCAAGTTTGTTTAACTTTTGTTGGTAGATGAACTGAAAACTTTACTACTCTTTATTGCAATATTTCTATGAGAAAATGATTTCTAACTTATATTAAAATTACCAGAAAATTTAGGAACTCCCTGTGTACTGGAGCCCATCTATGTATTAAAAGGTTAAAATTTGTCTAGGTTTTAATTTCCAAGTAAGTTTATTTCTTGCACATTATAGGAGAAAAAAAATATTGATTGGCCAGAAGTTGTATTCCAAGAAATGTGAGATGTTATATGTTTTTAGCTTTAACAGGAATACCTTCTGATTCTTATCATGTAGCAGGAAAAACATGTCCATCTTGCTTTGATGATTCAGAAAGGCTTTAGACTGTATTTTTCATAAAGTATTTTCACAATAATTTTTTATCATTCTCCCTTTATTTCTAGTTTGTTTATCCTTTTATTATAGTCCTGCTTCCTGTGTAATTTATCTTTGTGTTTCAACTAACTTTACCTTAGTAGTATAATGGTGAAATAACAGCAGTTAAATTACAGAGCTTTATATTGAAATAGTAATGAAACAAAACACAGAATAGGCCATCCAGGTGTGGCATTTGCAGCTGTGTTCTACTTGAGTCATGGGTTGTGTACACCCTCCTCCACTGCCCCTGCACAGCAGCTGAGATGCTTACTGATTTGTTTTTGTTTTCTTTTTACCAGAGGGAAGTGCAACATCTCCCATTTTTCTGACATCTTTGCTGCTAGAGAGTTTAAAGCCCGAGTGGACTCTTTTTTCTACATATTAGGCTACAACCCTGAGACGAGGTAAGTGAGTGAGTTGCCTGTGTCCACTCATGGAGAGCTGTTTTCCTTTTCTCGTGTGTGTGTGTGTGTGTGTGTGTGTGTGTGTGTGTGTGTGTGCGTGTGTGTGCGTGTGCGCGTGTTTGCACATTTGTATGTGCATGTTTACACATCTGGACATGGAGCAGTCAGATGCAAAACATGACTTGATCTATTGAGCTATGGTTAGTTCTCTGGGAGGAGTGGTAATTCATGTCTTTGACATCTAAAGCAGCTTGTTGTTTGCTCTCTACTTTTATTAAGGAAAAGAAAAGTGAGAAAATTTGGGTTGGGAGAAGGTGGGATAAAGACATAACTATAGTTGACCTGTGTTTTAAACTTACTAAGAAATGATAGATTATTTCCCTGATGCACATTCTATCAAGCCTTCCATAATACCATGTTGCAAAAGACTAGGTTATTTTTTGGTTTGTTGATGACTTACATGTTTTGTTTACTCTTCGTGATACCAGAAACATTCAGTAAAGAGACATCTATGGTAAGACTGCTGGTATGAGTTGGGCATGTCTCTTTCTCAACCATCTTGTAAGACTTATATAGCAGTTAGAATTAGAACTATTATTTTCTAAACGAAAAGATTTAGAATCAAAGTAATTTACAGAAAGTAATTTATGTCTGTAATAGACCTTAGTTTAATGTAGCACATGGAAGAATTTTTTTAAGAGTGTGTGTATTCATATTTGCCCTATGTCAATCATGTGACTACATGATTTTAAAAACAGGAATGTTAGCAGGTGATCAAGTAGTAGATGCTCTGGGCACTCAAGACATCTGTAAATGAGAAGAATTAGAAAGAGATAAAAGATGCTTGACTTGAGGAAGTTAATAAAATAACTATATAAGTGTGCATGCAAAATGGATTTTGTTGTAGTGAACACTTTTTTCTGGAGGATGCTGAGAAACCATATGTAAAACTTAGAATGTCGTTGGGACAGTCAACCCAGGTTGGGTAAAAGGGGACTTGTTTTTTGTTGTGATTATATGAGGCTGCGTTAAGCTCTGTTGGGGCACATATATTAGTGCATCTACCTGTCTGTCTGTCTCTCTTCCTCTTCATACTGGATGAATATACTAGATAACAGCTGTGTGAATGATAGTGTAATGCTCATCTAAGGGTACCTTTTCTTTAGAAAATTGTGAGGTTTGAGCTTTTCTTTTAAAAAAGTATGCCATGGTCCAATGATAACGAAGCTGGTCAGTGGTAATATTTCAAAAATATCTTATATTTTGCAATATTTATTTTACATAATGCATTTATTGACCACCTTGTGGTATCTTCCTATTGCCCAGGTGAATTGTCGAGTGCTTGGATTTCTTTGTAGATACAAAGGTGTTGGGTGTTATTTCAGTGATGCTATGTTTATTTAACCACTTGATAAATAATTGTCTTATTGCATAAGTTAGATTGTATTTTGTATTTTAAGTATTCAACTTTCAGGTTCATAACAACCAACCAGAATTTTTACTCGTTTTGGTTATACACCTGTTTTTGCTGAATGTTTACTAAAAGTAATATATAACTTAATCTCTGTAAGCTAACGACTCAACACAGTTAAGTGTCTTTTTTTTCATTGTGTGTTGCCGGCAGCCTTTCAGAGCGATTCATCCTGTCAGTTTTGTTTAAAAATGCGGGCTAGGTGACATAGTAAGGTATTAATTGTCTCTTCATTGATGAAAACAAAACACAAAGATGTGATGACAGCAGCACATTGGTAGGCTGCGTCCTGAGTCACTTCTGTTAGTGCACTTACCTTTCTATTCCCATTTATTTACTTCTACACTTGGGTTCCCCATAGCCACCTTGTGCTTGGCATATTTTAAGTGCCTGAGGGTGTTGGATGAATTGAATTGAACAAGTATTTGAATGTCTATTTACAAGTAAAGTCGAGCTCATCTCAGACTTCTCGTAGTTGGAGTGTGGAGACCCCTGTGTGCACCCGCACTCTGGAGCCAGTGGGGACTGCTGCTTTGTGTCTCTAAGGTTGGGCTTAGGTGGGTGTTCCCACAGCTGCTCAGATCAAAAGGATGTATCTGGTTGAACAGAGTACAGAAAAACTGCTTGTGTTTCCTCCACCTGGCTTGTGCACAACCCAGTTCTTAGAATGCCCAGGGTACATCCACCCTTGCAGAATTCACCACTTTTTCTGTCTTTGCTTCAAGTTTGTGAGGGATGAGGTTGTGTGATCAGCTGCTTTCCTGTCTAGTCTCCCCTCCCATTTTAATGAACAGGATTGGTAAGTAATTATGGCTACATAGTGCCTCTTGCTGACTCTTGGTGCCCTGTAATCATTTAGGTAAATGAAAGTTAATGTAGAGAGGAAACACACTGTTTTTCTAGTTGTGTAATGATCCTATGAAGTATTGTATATGTTATAAGACCACTGACAGTTTAGGAAATAGGACTCTGTGACTACAAATTTTGATGACCCTCCCCTTAAACAAAGCAGGAACTTTAAGCAGTTGAAAGTAGTGAACCTTAGGGTGGAATTGTTCATTCTTCATAGCAATTTTCTGATAGTAGTTACAAGCTGGTTTATGTAATTTTCCACAATTTATTTAGCAAACTGGTCAGTACTGAAAGTTTGGAATTTTTTCACAATTATTTGCATAGAACCTTAAAAATCCTTGAGATATAGCTTCCTTTGTATTTTTTCTCTAAGCTGGTTCATATATTTCTGAATGTTGTGTCTTGCCAGGGATCTTTTTCTTCTGAAAGTCTTGGTCCTGATGGATTACTGCTTATTGAACTGTTGTATGATGGTGGGAAAGAGATGGACTGTTCTGTACTTTTGATTTGTTTTTCTTTGAAATGGGGGTGGGGGGATGGATTTCTTGGTAATTGGCATATAATTACTTTGCTATTATTAGATATGAATTTATATGTATTTTAAAAACCTATAATACTGATCATTAATACCAATAAAGCACCTAGAGTAATATAGATCCAGAATCTCTTATCTTAAATTCTGAGATAATGAAAGCTCTGAAAATCTAACAAATCCTATGCTAAGTTTGGTGCCAAAACTCCTTTGATGACCAAATCTGACCTAAGCTGATATGAGGCTATTCATATTCCTATTTTAGTTCACTTTATGTAAATTTACACACATTTTACTGCAAAAATACAAATGTGACTGATTAGGGTTATTGCTTGAACACTCCTTGAGTATATATATATACACTCATATAGTTATGTGTTATAGTATGAAAATCCCCAAAATTATGAATCCTGGTAAACCTCTGACCCTGAAGATTTTTTTTTTTTTTTTTTTTTTTTTT